ATATAGGCAAGGTATCCACAGCCAAGAAATACCAGTGTTTGCCAGTGAACTGCCAGAAGTTAGGAAAGAGCATGGAACGTTCCTTCTCCAGAAGGAACCAGTACAACCAGTATCTTGATTTTAGACTTCAGGCTTCCAATAAACAAATGTTTGTTGTTAAATCCAGCCTGCCTGTGTTACTTTGTTATGACAGACCTGAGAAACTAATATGCCTCGCCTGGCCCCAGCTTACTGGCAGGTTTTTAGCCAAGTCCTGTCCCAACTACCCAAGTGAGAGATTTACAGCTGGTCCTAGCTCTCAATGGCACCTCCATCATGATTTCTTATTCAGGACCCAGTTCCTTACCCCTGCTGTGTCTTTCCTCCTCTTGGGACCCAGACCTCTCTCCGAGACATAATGAGTAATATAGCCAAAACACCTGTATGGATCATAGTACTGAAGGACCACACATTCACTTTAAATATTTTCTCCTTACAAAACTATTTACAACCAGGAAGTGAGTATTTGAGGGGAAGCCAGACTCTCTCACCCCTCCTCAGGCTTTATTTGTGCAACAAAATGGAATACATGCAAGCACCCTCTTGGATAGTCTGGATAACACTGATGGTCACACTGAATAATTAGACCAATTTTTCTTGGGGGAGACAGAATCAAAGCACAAAGTGGGTCCTCAGCGTTTCTCCTGTTTAGAACGTGTGGCTCTGGCTTTTTGTGTTTGGATCTAGCAAACCTAAATTCCAAAGTACCTGACCCATCAATGAAAGAAGCCTTGATCTTCATACACAAAGCGTTTTTCAGTAACTGAAATAAATGAGTTTAGTGAGGGACCCTAGGAAAGATGTAAAATGACAAGGTATACAGCTGCTCTGATCATATCCCAAGTCCCATTAGGGGAAAACTTCTAGGTCACCCGAACAGAGGTGCAAATGCCAGGGGCCCAACCTTTCTGAGGCCGCCCAATATAACAAAGATTTGCTTCCCTGCACACCCCACAAATTCTCAAGTTCTGCATGCTTCCTTTTGGGTTTAGAGACTGATACAGGGCTCATGAATAAAGTCACCCCTTCCCCAGTTGCACAGAAGTGGGGTGACTAAAGGATGCCAAGGGGAAGAGGAGAGGAAGGGCCACAAGTGGAGAGGGCATCGCATGTGGAGAAAACAGTGATCCCAAGGCCCACACCTGGGTGAAGAGAGTCTCGGCCCCCAGATTTACGCAAGTGCCATCTGGCTAAAATGAGCAAATGCATCACCCTAGTGGGGGCATCCAGAGGGCAGTTCCCAGAGCCCATGAGGAGCAGGGGAGATGAGGTGAGTGCTGTAGGTCCTGGTGTCCTTTTTCAGTGCCAGTTTCCACCAGGATGAAAGGAGGGCAGAGGTGACTGCTGGAAGACTGCCTGCAGCACCACCCGGCGAGGTGACATGGCAGCGAGGGGTCACCACCTTTGCTCCTGCTGGGCCTCCCTGGGCCGGTATCTGCCCCTCCCTAGCTTTCCCACCAAGTTCTGCAGCTCCAGGGTGTCACAGCAACACGTGGTCCTCCGTGCCCAGGAGCCACACTCTGTGTTCAGGCTGCCCCCGAGAGGACAGCAGGGACTGTAGTGTGTCCCCCGCCAGTGGCTGCAGTGGGAGGCGGGCCTAGCTTCATTTCAGAGGAAGGGTGGGCAGGAAGCAAAGGGCGGCGGATGCTGTCTCCCCTGCATCCGAGTTGAATTTTGTTTTTGTTTTTAATTTTCAGATGAATAATTCAGTGGCTATGCCAAGGTTGAAATATTTTTCTGTTTTCAGTAAGATGTGAGAAAAGGAAATGAATTTTAATGAAATGTTTTAGTTTACTTTATCAGAGGCTTCCAGCGTGGTGGGATTCCCACGCCCTAAGCAGATGTCAGCTGTTTTGTCCTCTTGCCTGCAAAAGGCGACAGACAGCCGTGTGGCCACTCTGCTCAGCCCGGGTGCATCTCCCCATTTCCTGGCTGGACAGGGCCACTCACCCGTGAGCACCAGGCTGGCAGAACATGAAAGCTATGTGCGTGTCCCAGTCATTCAGAAACCGGAAACTGCAAGTGATGATCTGCTGTCCTAACTGCTGTGGACCAACAGGCCTCTAAGGGGGAGAGCAGGCCACCTGCCCTGCTTTCCAGTACCCGTGCACCCTAGCCTGGCTGGGCAGCACAGGCTTTGGCTGATGACCAAGCCCTCTGCACCGAACAGGAAGAATTTAAGTATGTATGTGATTCTATAAACAGATTTCAAGGGAGGTGCAGAAATGTGGCTAGATCTCTAAGGAGATGACAGAGCTGTCAGGTGGAGGTGATGTCACAGGCCTCAGAGAATGTGCCAGAACATGAGCTAATTGATAGCTGCAGGCTCAGGACATGTTTTCAAGCAAAAGTTTCTGAACAAAGTCGGCAAGTAACAGACCACATGGATTCTCTTAAATAGCCTGCTGATAGGATTCCTCATGATTCAAGAAACACCTGCCTGAATGAGTTGTCATCAATCTGCACAGGAATGATTCGCTGAGCTCTTCCCAACGGTTAGAACACAGCCAGTTTGAGGCAGGGGAGGATGGAGAGGCTAAGATAACCAGAGCCTGCCTGCAAGGCTTGGGGAGATAAGCTTGCCCAGACAATGCCCATGCATGACGAGCCCAAGGAAGTCTGCAGTCTAGTGCTCCTCACCTGGGCTCTCCACTGCCACCACCCCTGGCGTCACCTTGTCCAGAGGCCCAAGTGAGCATCAAAAAAGAGACAGAAGTGTTGAACGAACTCTGCTAGAAAGGATTTATGTTGCCACGGGGAGCTTGTAACAATTCTCTGTTCACATGCTTTGCCATTTAAGGTTTTCAGGCCCATTCTGTATCACGTGTCATCGTCTCCCTGGTAAGCAAAGGGTGAAGTCTTTCTCCTGATCTCACCAGTGATTTAGAGGGGGCCTTGGGGTCCCCAGTCCTCGCTTCCCAGAATATGTTTGTTCTGCTTCTCCTGCTCCTTGAGGGGAAGGAGGTGGTTGAGCAGGCAGAAACTTGTAAAGTGAATGACTGAAAGAAACCAAATGGTAGCTTCCTTTCCCATCCTCTTCCCAGGCCTGGCTGCCTCGCAAGGGAAATGTCTGAGATTTTCTTAATGGAATGCTACTGTGCTACCTACTTGCTCCGAGTAGCCAGCCAAGGGACAGATGCTGTTGATTAACTTGCAATTTCCTCTCTGCCCCAGGCCTTGACTCCAACAGTGTCCCTTCCCTGGTTAGGCCTTCACCCCCACTGCACACGCCTTTGGCTATCCGCTGTGTGGTGTTGAATTAACTGTGTATAGTGGCAAAGTTGGAATCTCCTCCCCCAAGGCTGAGAGGGCGGTGGAGGGGACCCAGGAGCCCACCAGGAGCAGTGTCTATCTTCACAGGCTTTTGCAGGTGTCCTGCACCATGTCACACGGGGAGGAGGGAAGGGAAGGGGAAACCTGGAGATGATCTGGCTCAGGGAATGCAATCGGTCGGGAAGAAAGAAAGGGTCAGAGATGCAGAGGCCCCCTGCCCCGTGTGTGGGTGGCTGCAACTAAGGGGAAAGGGGCTTTGGGGGTGTAACATAACCCTGAAGGAGACACCTACTCACCTTCCCTGCCATTAGACAAGCGGATGGTAACATTTACAGGGGAAAAACAAACAAGCAAGACTAGACAGGCAAACTGGTGCTGGGAGGGACACGGTAAGGTAGGATGGAGCCTGCGCTCCAGCGAGGAAATGATCCACAGCCTTAGCCCCTTCTCTGTTTCTCTGGCAAAATCCCTGAGACCGGGTGATTTGTCAGGGAAGTACTTCTTGTGGCTCTGGGCCAGGAGGTTCAGAAGGCCAAAGCAAGGTGCCAGCAAAGGTCTCGCACTTCTCCAACTCATGGTGGAAGAACAGGCATCTGGCAGCTTTGCTCTAGTGAGAACACACTCCCCTGAGAGAGGCGCTGATCTTCCTGGCCCTCCTCACCCGTGCAAGGGCTTGCCTCCCACCACCGCAGGGGCAGCCCGGCCCAGCATGAGTTTCATGGGGCACAAACCTCACTAGGTCCATCTCACCCGGTACTCTCAGAACTCGGAGCCTGATCTGCAGATGGATAAGGGTTCAGATGCTCACATTTTAAATCAATGGTGCTGGGTCACATGGATGACTACTGGATAGAGTAAGCTCCCAATGCAATGAAATTCAAACGTGAGCATGAAATACGTGTAGAAAGAAAGAATGGACAAATTCTTTGCAGCCTTGGAGGAGAAAATGGCTTGCCAGCCGTTTAAAGATCCAAAACTATTAAATGGTTTTTTATTATATAAAAAGAAAAAGCTTCTAAATAAGAAAAAATATAGAAAAGTCAAAAAACAACCAAAATAAAATATTTGCCATTCATTCCTCCCTAACATACAAAGAGATCCAAAAACGGAGACTATGAAAACCCAGTAATTCAATAAAAACGAACAAAAGCTTGGAATAGGACTCACAAAAAATGCAAATAGATCTTAAATTCATGAAGAACGTTTCTTAAAGGGAATAAAACCTTAAAGCTTCCCTGAGATACATGGACTTCTTTGTATCCATGAAAAAGCTTGCAAAGATACTTTACTCTTGAGTCTGTAGGCAAAGGTAGCCCGCAGAAATGCAAAATGGTTTACCTCTGATGGAGGCCAACTTAGTACTCAAATATGGTGTTTCAAAATGGCAAATCCACTTCCTTTGCCCAGCAGCCCTTATTTGGGAATTTAACGTCAGCTGTTCATGGACAAAATTATGCACAAATAGGATTCATTATTGTATCATTGTTGCAAGAGAAAAAAATGTGAAACATCTCAAATGCCCATTAATAGGAGAATGGCTAAATAGATCATGTAATATGCAAGTTTTAAAAAAATGAATCAGGAACTCTTCATCTAAGCAGGGAACATTCTCTTTGGTATAGTAAGTGAGGGAAGTGGACTTTAGAATTATGCTATCTTTTCTGGGGAAAAGGGGGTAATATAGCATATTCATGTTAGCATGTATTTATATATGTAACATTGGGTGAAAACTAATTAAAGATGTCACAGGGCCATGAGGTAGAACAGATTAGCCAGGGATGCAGCAAAGACTGGAACCCTGGGTTGGTGGCTCCTCTAGAGAGGTACAAAGCCTTTCCTGGAGAACGGGGTGGATGAGTACATCTCAAGTAAAAGAAAAGCAAAAGTCAGTAAGGACAAGAAATTCACACGAGAGAATAATCTGCTCTCAACCTCTGCCCGCCTCAGATCTTTAGTCTTGAGTTCTATCTTTCATTCGGTCAAGCTTCAACAAGAAAGTCCAAAAGGTGTGGAATTGGCGTTTCCTGAGAAGAGAAATTACAGCTGATTCCAAGTTCAGGTCGGCAATTTCCTTAGAATGAAAGTTCAAATTAGATTTCTATGAAAGACACAGTGAGGTTACGCTGTGACTCTGGGAATACACACACATGTTCACACAAAGCCCAGCAGAGGTTGCCAGCAGCTGGGCAGAGTGGGGTGTGAAGAGGGACTGCCCAGGGGTGCAGGGTTTCTTCTGGGGTCACTGAGAATGTTCTGAAGCTAGGTAATAGTGATAATCACAAAAGTCTGTGACAACACTAAAGACTACCAAGCACTTTAAGATGTGTATTTTATGCCACTTGAGTTGTATTCAATTATTTTTTAAAAAATCTTTCCTTACAGAAGTCTTCTTTGGTACCCCTGGACACTCCACTCCCTCCCAGGACCCAATAACACTTACCTTTCCCTGATCTTTTATTGTTTGGTTTACTTTCTAAATTACTGATTTTGAGTGCTACCCAGGTGGTCGCCAACTTACAACTGTTCTACTCACCCCTTTCGACCTTATAACGGGGAAGGTAATATATATTCAGCAGAAACCATCCTCAGAATTTTGAACTGCGATGTTTGGCAGCAAGGGATGCCCTGCTGTCTGGGATTCAGGGCAGTAGGGGTGAGTCACAGCTCCCCGCCACCCTGCAGTCCCAAGGGAACACACGCTGCACTGGGTGCCGAGTGAGGGTGTTCAGGAAGTTAGGGATGTTACCTGCATGGTGAACTCACCTTCCACGACGAATTTATCTGGATACAGTGCCGTTGTAGGTGGAGGAGCATCTGTATAGGTAAAATGAAAAATGACACCTTCTTGTTAGCTTTCCTTTAATACTCAATGTTATTCTACACGGAAACTAACTCAGAAAGGTCTCTGTTCTAGTCTGATCCTCCCAGGACCCATCTGCTACAAGGTTTCTGCCTGGGACGTTTGTCACTGTAACGGTTTAGAGCAGCACAGCTCCCATGTCCAGCCCTGTGGTGCTACCTCTCCTGCAGAACGTGGAGATTCCAACACTTGTAGCAGCCGGTTACAGAGAAGAGAAACACAGCTGAGTGAACTTCAGTTCTCTTATTCTATGAAACAACATGAGGTTTGTACTTGTGAGTTATAATTTGAGGCAGTGAAACAAGTAAGAGGAACAAGGTGTAGTATTTTATTTTGATGAGTGCAAATTTTAGTTTCTACACAAAATATTTTACTAAATTTGACATTGAAATGTATTCTTTTCTAGTTGTTGTTTATTTTAAACTAACGGATAAGTCAAGAAAACAGATTGCTACAATAATAGTTGTCTAAATTTTGCTTTTCATAAATTGTTTCAGTTTCTTTAAAATTCACTTAATAGAAATTATCTACATAAAATAGTATTATATGAAACTTAACCAAAAGATGAATGTTTAATCAGAAGTAGACATAAAAAATGACAGAGTAATTGATTTGTTCTTTTTTCCTTTTTTTGGTACAGTAATATATATTTATTTCTCTTCTTTTTAATAGCAAGATTCCATAAACAAATATTCAAAAGGTAATTTTGAGTGTTTGCATTTTTGGCCATTTTTGCTATTCATTTTATGATTATTGCTGAAAAGTTTTAATCATATAGGGGAGGATATTATTCCTAGCCATCTTCTACTTGATTAAATAGTACTATTCATAAGAATCTACATGTACTTCATATGTTTTTGTATATACTTCTAAATATGCTTACTATGATTGAATTTATATATGGTATACTATATTTGAAAATATTCATTGATAGTCAAGAAAAATTCTTTAATGCAAGGTTTTTTTAAACAGCTAATTTTGGTGAGTTTACTGTTTCATGATTGCAACCATTCAGTGAGTTATTTTTACCCCCATGAGACAGACAGTTTGATCTCCATAGAAAATCTGAGAGACAGAGTACTGAAGTAACTCATTCATGATCAGAAAATCAGTAAGAAGAGCTGTGATCTGAACCGAGATCTAATTCTCTTTGCTAGTGTACTAGGTTGGTTCTTCACACATCTCCCACTAAAGTGAAAGTTGACCTTGAAATGCCATCTGATTATTCCTGCACCACAAACCCTTCCTTGCTGATACGATCTAAGGGAGCTACAGAACCCAGTCTGCACACCTGAGTCCAGCTCTGCCCTGAGCCCCGCTACAGGGATTAGAGATGACTCGGGGACAATGACCTGCACACCAGGGACCTGCTCCTGGGACCGCGCGGGCACACCTCTGGGTCAGCTCCTTGACAGTGCCAAGTTCATGTCTGCCTTTGCCGCTCACATCCTTTGTGCCAGCTTCTCCTCCGGCTCTTCCTCATCTAAAATGACCCAAACCCAGTAATCACTCCCCACTGCCCTGTTTATTTTACAGCCTAGAGTGTGGCATTTCTCCCCTCTTATTCCCTTCTTTTACTTTGTATGTGTTACAAATCAGTACTTGTCATGTAATGGGTTCCTAATGGCGTTTATTATGATTTTGAAAGAACGGAGATATGAAGGGCTTAGCATCGCACTAATAAGAAGGATTCTGAGGTCACATTCAGGCTCAGTGCAAGCAAATGAGAAACAAGAGCCACTGTCACGCCCAGTGTGCAGAGGGGTGGTGCAACTGTACTTGTGAGCACCGAACTGCCATATGCCCAAGCCGGAAGGACAGGACAGGGCTCTCCCCACCAGCACCCACCATGCACTAGCACAGTACACCCATTGCGGGGACCCCTCAGCCCTCTCTCTGGGGGCATTCTGGAGGGCCAAGCTTGCTCAGGTTCACAAGCTTGGTCTCAGCATCAAGAGGGTGCACAGTCTGGCCTGAAGTTCTTCTGCAGCACCAGATGCAATGCATGTCATGACCGCATCTTATGCAAAGGGTAGAGATTTGACAGGTGAGCAGAGGATTCTCAACAGAGTCCAAGCCAGACTCTCCCAGTTCCCACAGCCTGAGTTGGGGGGCGGGGGGACAGGCACATAAACCAGCCTCAGCTGCATGGGAGTCTCTCCTTCCCCTCCCAAATCATTAACAAAGACTGACACTATAGTATTTATCAAAAAATCATGTTCCCTAAGTGGTGATACAAAATAATTATCTCAGCAGGCAATCAGCTCAGCGATCTTCTTCAAAGCAATTTGTGGCAAGGGTATGAGGTTTTTAAAGTAGATTAAATTTTCAAGAGCTCATCTCTTAAACCTGGTCAGAATGTATTTACAACTCACCTGGTGAGATGATGTCTATCTCGAAGCTGAATTTCTCTTTCATTAGGTCTTACTTAATTGAATCAAACAAAGTCATTTTGGGATTGTCCCAAAAGCAAACCTTTTATCTTAAAGCAAATGTGTCTTAACAAGGCCCTAAAGTAAATAAAGGCAGGTTTCCACTCAGGAGAGCTCTGCTCTTCCTTTTAAAAGCTTATCACCCTACTTCACTGGTTGTCTTTAAAGTTAGGAAATTGCTTATGGAGTTTACTGTTGCCAGTGAAAGCAACAAGTTGGGTTTTTTGTTTCTTGGTTTCATTTAACTATTAAGAAACACCTGCCCTCCCCGCCCTCACTGCCCCCTCCGTGGCCGGGGAATAACCCAGGGCCTCCTGCAGGTTAGGTGCAAATGCTCCACCACTGAGCTACACCCCCGGGCTCTCTTCCTTCTTTTTGAAATATTTAAGTAAATGCCTAGCTGGTGTGCGTTTGCGGCGCTCGGCATGGCCACAGCTTACAGTCACGAGTGTCACACTGTGTCCTGCGTGGTTCCCACTGGGTTGGTTCTGGAATTTAAGCTTCTCATTGAACTAATGCAAGAAGTGTCAAAGGCCTGCGACTCTGCGTTCCCTCAAATCCCAGAGAGAGTGGGAGCCCAGGCCAGGGTGGTGACCGCTTCTTTCCTCCACAGTCAGGTCCCCGTTCTCTCTACATCTGTATGCCCCAATGCACACTCTTTGGTGCACAAGCTGTTTGCAGGAGTGACCAGGCTTCAAACAAACAAGCTCCCTGGAGGTGGGGCGGGTCCCTGGGCCACACTCAGGCCTAAGAGATCGTCAAACCAGACGCTGCCGACGGGGTGGGTGTCCGGGCAGACCGCAGGACGTCTGCACCCCAGTCCACAGAAGTGGACACGGCTCAAGGGGCTGCGTGCTCCCGCCCTGGAGAACCCACGACGTTGCAGCAGGGACCTGGACGGTTTGACTCAGCGCCCACCACGTCCCACCAGAATCAGAGGCGGCGGCGGGCGCAGCGTCCCCCCCCTCATCCCACCTTCCGGCGTCCTCCAGGCTGCCCTTTGCTAGCCGTGAGCTATCGCTCACCGCAAATGTCACTGGGGATGCCTGCGTGCGGCGGCGGGGAGAGGCCGGTGCAGACGCCCCGCCGTCATCTGACGGGTCACGTGCGCGGGGCGTCGCCGGCCCCCTGGTCCCCCCTCCCCTGCCCTGTCCTCGGTGAGTCACTGTGTCACACGGTCCTGCGGGAAGGGCAGCAGTTACGTAAACGCCCGCGAGCTGGCACTGCGAACGCTGCGACCCAAACACCTTCTGTGTTAGCTCCAGGACCCAAAGTGGGGGCCCTACTGTAGGGAGGGGTTCCCCCTCCTCAACACATGGGGACACCAAGTTTCTCACACAGGCGACCGGCCCCGAGCTGGAACCCCGATCACGTCCCGCAGCTCATCCTTCATCAATGCGGAATTTTGGAGAGTTTCTCTGTCTGCATCCCCGAAGCCGGGGGGGGGGGGGGGGGGGGGCGGAGATTTATTCCATTATATAAACTTGTAATTGCCCCTGACTCTGCGCTGGGGCTCTGCAGGATGTTTCCAGCCAGATGGGTCGTGAGGCTCAAGGGCCTCCCTCTCTTTCCTCCTCCCCCTCCTCCTCCTCCTCCTCCTCCTCCTCCTCCTCCTCCTCCTCCCGCCAATCCCTGCCTGCCCAGGCCACCTCCCACCCCACCCCGCTTCCCGAGTCCACCAGACTTTCCCGTCTTTCCGGGCCTCTCCTGCACAGGAGATGGGGCCCCGAAATACAACGCTGTTTACAACTGGCAAGCTGTTATTAAACTGGGGTTTCCGATGTGTTGGCGGTGGCTCCCCGTTAGCATTGAGGAACACCTCATTCCGGCAGGTGCCTTCTGGGGACGTCTGTGGTCCCTGATCGGCATCCCTAACCCTGGAGTGTGCAGCCACGGCCATCCCTGCGGGTGCTACAGAGTCACTAGATACACAGGAACCGACGGCAAGCCCCGCCCCCCAAGAAAAGATTTGCAAACAAATCAATAGTGGAACAAGATGTCAGGAAGGCCAGCCTCCTCTGAAGGAGTCTTTGGCATTTCCAAAGCACGCATTTGCAAACACAACCATGTTCCTTATAAATGACGGCATCCGTCCCAGTGCATGATGGAAGGAATCTCCGGGAGCGCCTCACACTAGCAGCTAAGGTTGGCTGGCTCCAGGAACTGGAAACTGAATGCAGGTGACTTCTGAGACTGAAGTCCCGGCCTGAACCTCGTCTACCAGGTGAGAAGCCAGGATCAAAAATGGGAGGGGACTTGAGTGTGGAGTGTAGCTGGGAAGAGCTGAGTTCAGGGAAGCAGGGGCGACTCCTTACACCGAGGTTCCACCTCGGGCGCCAAACCTGGTCAGTTTTTCCCAGTTTCCTAGTCTGTAAGGTTAGATCAAACCATTTTGCTGAACATTGTGGCGCTGAGATGTTATGCAAGAAAACCACAGAGCTCAGGTCAGGCTTGCCCCTGTGTCACAGTGCTGGTGTTACTAGTGGTCAAGGCCACCGGGCTAGTTAACATGACTTCCGATTAAAATTCAAATTAATTTTTTAAGCTGGAGTGTGGACTCCTTAACATTTTAATAGGATATGCAAGAAAAAGTGGAGTAGAACTTTCATGACACAAAAATGAATCCAAAAATTACTACAACTACTCTCATATGTTATAAAATGCTTCATTCTTTTGTGTTTTGCTCTTTTTTAATTAGCAAATAAATGTTATACACACCTACAGGGTACCATGTGGCATTTTGATACAAGTATACCTTATGTACATACTTATGTATATTAAATAT